AGCCTAGATACAAAGCTAGATTGGTTGTTAAGGGATTTGGTCAAAGAAAGGGTATTGACTTTGACGAAATATTTTCTCCTGTTGTGAAAATGTCCTCGATTCGTACAGTTCTAAGGTTTGACTTGCTAGTCTTAATTTAAAGATTGAGCAGATGGATGTGAAGACGGCTTTCCTTCACGGTGACCTAGAAGAAGAAATTTATATGGAACAACCTGAGGGCTTCAAAGTAGAAAGTAAAGAAAATTTTGTGTGCAAACTCATAAAGAGTCTCTATGGCCTAAAGCAAGTTCCTAGACAGTGGTACAAGAAGTATGAATCTTTTATGGGGCAGCAAGGCTATAAGAAGACTTTATCAGATCATTGTGTATTTGTACAAAAAAATTCTGACAATGATTTTATCATCCTCTTATTGTATGTGGATGATATGTTGATTGTGGGAAAGAATACTTCCAAGATTGACGAGTTGAAGAAAGAGTTGCGTAAGTCTTTTGCTATGAAAGACTTGGGTCATGCGAAACAAATTTTGGGCATGAGAATTATTCGTTTCAGAGATGAAAGGAAGATTTATTTGTCATAGAATAAGTATATTGAACGTATACTAAAGCGCTTCAATATGAAGAATGCTAAGTCTGTTAACACACCTCTTGCTGGTCATATGAAGTTGAGCAGGAAGATGTGTCCTGCAACTAGGGAGGAAAAGGAGAGCATGGCCAAATTTCCATATTCCTCCGTCGTCAGAAGTCTAATGTATGCAATGGTATGCACTAGACCTGATATTGCTCACGCAGTTGGTGTTGTCAGCATATTTCTCGATAATCCAGGAAAAGAGCATTGAGAAGTTGTTAAGTGGATACTCAGGTATCTTAGAGGAAGCTCAGATGAATGCTTGTGTTTCGGAGCATCAAATCCAATCTTGAAGGGCTATACAGATGTTGATATGGCATGTGACCTTGATAATAGAAAATCCACTACTGGATATTTGTTTACTTTCTTAGGGGGAGCTATATCATAGCAGTCGAAGTTGCAGAAGTATATTGCACTATCTACAACTGAAGTTGAGTATATTGCGGCTATTGAAGCCGACAAGGAGATGATATGGCTTAAGCGATTTCTTCAAGAGTTTGGTTTGCATCAGATAGAGTATATTATCTATTGTAATAGCTAGAGGGCAATAGACTTGAGCAAGAACTCCATGTACCATGCAAGAACAAAACACACCGACATCAGATATCATTGGATTCGTAAGGAAGTAGAGAGTGAATCATTTCACGTCAAAAAGATTCACACAAGTGAAAATCCTGCAGATATACTGACCAAGACGATACCGAAAGACAAGTTCGAGTTATGCAAAGAACTTGTGGGTATGAGCTTTCTCTAAGAAATTGGAGATACCTCCTTTTGGTAAATGGGACTGGAGGGGGAGATTTGTGGAGTCCATCCCATATTTTTGATCAATTTTTGCTACTCAATTGCTACAAGTAATTGTTAAAAAGGAATAGTGATAAGAGTTGAAAATGAAAGATTTGGTGGTTGGCAAATTGGTAAGATTTGCAACCCTTTGGACTTTGCTACATTTGCCTATGTCATTAGTGACATAGGCAGGTTTTTCTCCTTCTATAAATAGAACATTCTTGCTCATTTGTAGAACACACCAAGTTAGAGAGAAAAAACCATTTTTGAGAGCAAAGTGAGGTATTCCATAGACTATACAAGAAAAATAGTCTATGAAGAAAAATAGAGTATGAGCGATATTTTAGTAAGGTGGAAATCAAAAAAGTGTTATTCCTTTTGAGTGTGTAGTAGTCACTTTAAGTATTGTATTCGTGACTACACGATGTAAAATTCCTTACTATAGTGATATCAGTTGCTCCTCTTGGCCCGTGGTTTTTTCCTTAAATAAAAGGGTTTCCACGTAAAATTCTTGGTGTCATTATTTTCCCATTTTATTTCTATCATTTGACCATATATATTTTTATGTTAATCCGCGTTTTCCCAACAATATGGTACATGAAGTAATGTTTGAAACTAGCGTGAAACCTAGTTAGGACCTAAACTAGTGGGGTTTACGTCCTTTGCTCTAATTTTAACGCTAGTGGTCTTTGTACTAGTATGGGATAGAGCTTGAGAGGGGTTAATGGTACGGTTCGAACAAAGTAGACTTTTCATAACCGCCCCATCATATTAATTTCTCTTCGAGTATGATTTGATTAATTTATATATATATATATATGTTTATTGTTTAAAAGGTGATGAATCAAAGAAACTTGAAAGTTGACAATGACAGAGGTGCATCCTACTATTTTACAGTAATGTAAAACAAAGTTAAACAAAGACTAAAACTCTAATGATCAGCCGAGTGGAACATCCTTTATCAAAAGTCTCGATTTCAAGCCATGTGTATGGAGTCACCTTTGAGAGTGATCATTTTACCCTATGTATTTCTTTATAAAAGCTAATATAGTCAGGTTAGTTTTAAATTATTGTTCTACATAACTAAAAATTGAAGCAATTGGATATGCTGCATATGAATTGAAATGATTGTGAACAAAGCCAACTATTATTAGAGACATAGGAGGATATCCAGAATACACGTAGAAGTAAAAAAATTAATACAAATGCCCTGAAGCATTAGGAAGTGTTAAACTAAATGAAGGCTATTATGAGAGGGATAATTTGGCAAGAGTTAATGCTAGAACCTTCACCCCGTTCACGATATCCTCAACGGATGAAAATTCTCCAGGCTTATGGCTATATCCTGCAAAATCAATAACTAACAGGCATGAATATCAATCCACACATCCTGTGAAGCAGCAAAGTGATCTTGCACAGATGCTTCGTCTTTGTCGTTATGCCTAGCTTGTGATAGTTAATTCATTGTGTAGCTATTTTATAATTATCTAGCATATATTCATCTGATACAGTTGGCATAGCATAGTTCTACTAGTCAGTAGTGGAGCCAGGATTTTGAGTACAGAGATTGAAGATTCAAGAAAATGTAAAAAAGGCACACCTAAGATATATGAACCTACATTCAAGGGGATTCAATAGTGTTTATATACATACAAAAAAAATATGTTCTAACCCTTTTTCACAGTTTAGTTTCCTGGCGAAGAGGATTCAGTTGACCCCCCTTTACCAAAGGTAGCTCGTGACTCTGTCAAGGCTTCAAGTGTCTAAAATATTTTATTTTCTAAAATGTAAATATGCAACATAACTAGAAGAGAGTAAGACTGACATCAACCACACATAAAGAAAATAGAAAGGGATAATGAAGGGATAATGCGAACACAGAGAAATTCTGTTGCCTTAGAGATTGACTCATCTGAAAGGGCTGGTGGATCTTGATTCACTATTTCCATGGGACACCTGTCACCGACCTCCATTGCCTTCAAATGTTACTTTGATGCTTGCTGGAGCAGCAATTGTAGTTACAACACCAATGGAAGTAGCTGCATTGACAGATAAGAACATGCTCTCTTCCTCTCACAGAATTATAGATATAAGAAATGGGGCAGTACTGTACAGTAAGTACATTTTGCATTGTACCAGATCATACACCAGATTGTAACTATATATACATCACATTTTACCTAACTACAAAATCCTAATTATATCTATGAATTGTAATTCTTACAAATTATAATACGTATAGTAAATATATATATCACATTTTGCCTAACTATGTAATTTTCCTTAAATTAACATCCCAAAAAAGTTTGTGACGTTGAACTAAACTCCTGATAAAGGGAACATGTCTCTTCAATCCTTTTTTCTTGGAAAAATTACATAACAAGGCAAACATGTCAACATATTTATGGAACACCACCATAGTTCTAAAAAAATTACAATAAACCACTATATGTTGGTTTTATAGCAAACTCTCTCCCTTTCTGTCTCTCTCCCTTACCTCTCCTCCCCTTCTCTCTCCTGCCAATAAGAAGAAATTCATTCAAATATATTATGTATCAACTGTATTCAATCAAATATATATGTGGGAGTTTTGTATTTTATATCAATTGTATTCGCAAAAATTATATTCGTATTTTTGTATCAATTGTATTTGTATTCATACGAATACAATATGCATTCATCCTCTCCGTCAAATGTATTATGTATCAATTGTATCCAATCAAATATAGGTGAGATATTTGTATTTTATATTGATTGTATTCGATTCAACTGTATTTGTATGATGTATCAATTGTATTTGTTTTACAACAAATACAACATGTATTCATCCTCTCTCCTCCCTCTCTCGATTTCGCCTGCCTCTCTCCTCCCTCTCTCGATTTCGCTTGCCTCTCTCCTCACTCTCTCGATTTCGCTCGCCTCTCTCCTCCCTCTCTCAATTTCGCTCGCCTCTCTCTTCTACTATTCATTTTGATACAAATTAGTTTATATTTGTATTTTTTTTTTCTCCAAAATCTATGAAAAAATACAATGAATACAAATACATAGCAAGCCAAAATGTAGCTGTGAATTGTAATTAGTGAAAGCTAAGAAATACTATTTAAGGTTTAATTGTTTGCTGTTTTTGAAAGTAAGAAACTTGCATAAATATACTATATTAAGAAAATATTTACCATTTATAGCAATAACTTTTTTTCCACCTTATCACTTTTAAGACATTTATAATACCATTTTAATACACATAATAGAGAACAGTTTATAAAACACATATAATACAAGTTTTATTATGAATAATACATTTATCACACATTTTAATGCATTTATAATACAACGTGACAATTTCTTACCAAACAAGCATAATATGTTTTAAAACAGTTATAATACATATATATTGCATACATAATTCACTTTTAATACATATTGCAGATTTATCATTGTATTACTATATATTGCTATAAATTATAATAAATAAAAAATATCGTTAAAATCAATAATTATTTATTAAAAATTACTCATTAGGAAGTAATTTTTCCTTTTCTTTTTGTCTCTTTCTTTAGCCCAAATAAACCGAGAATACCCAATAGTTTTGGCCCAATTCCTAAAACAACCCTGTCCATCACGACCTCTCTCTTTGTAGTTTCCGAGTTGAAGTTGAACGTCGGAGCTCACTGTCACCGTCGTTGTTCCTAAAAAGGTGATTCCCTTTCCTTTGTAATTTTAGCCTCTTTGAATTCGCTTGGCTTTCTCATATGTTCGAATTCTGCGTGTATGTCGCTTCAATGTATGCATAACTTCTGTAGTTTTAGTATATGATTAAGTTCTGAACACACTCTCTGATTTTTATGCTTTAGTTCTATTAAGTTTATGCCTTATATAATTAATTCCTAGTTCAAATTTTGCTCACTTTTTTGTTTTAAGTGTTTCAATTTTATATCAATCTCAGCTTAGATGTTGATTCTCTATTTTTTATATTTGAATCCACTGTGTAATTTTAATTTGTTTAATATAAGCATATACCTTGTATGTTTATTTGTTCAATGATTGTAGATTAGATCCTTAATCGATTTTCTTTAGTTTTGACAATAGTCCCTTCTTATTTGCTTAGATATGTGATACAAATGAAGTGAGAAACACCCAACTTGGTATCCCTCAGCATCTTCTTCTCTGTTAAATTGTGGCTTGAATGGATTAAGGATCAAAGTTATTGTACAGTTTGTTTGTCATCTCAAATAGACTAATGATTTGCCTCTAGTTGATAGTTCTGAATGAGATATTAAGAGCATGAGTATGTATGGACTTCTGTATTTGCATTAAGGTTATGTTCGGTTGTTGCTTAAAGCATTTAAGAGGATGTGTAGAGTGTAACTCCATCCTTATATGTGTTAGATCCCGTTTGGATTGGCTTAAAAAAAGTAGTTTTTAAGTCAAAAATAAAAATTCAAACGTAAATGACTTTTAAGGCAAAAAATAAAAAGCAGGGGAGGTCTACTTTTGGTTTTTAACTTATTTTAAGTCATTTTTAACCTTGCAAAATACTTCCTAACTTATTTTAAGTAAGAATACCTAATTTTGAGTGGAAAAGCATTCAATTTTGATATAGTTTTCTTAATTGTTTCTTGTCAGAATCTATAAGCTTTAGTAAATTCATGGACTCATGGTCTTATACCTTCCACTCGCAAGGCTCACTGCTTAGTTGAGAAATCGTGAGTGCAAGCAGAGACTGAGAAATCACGAAGCCGTTAATAGAAATCATGCTCGCAGACTCACTAGTTACTGCTCAGTTGAGAAATCACGAGGCGTCAGCGTAGCTTATGAGTTCTGAGAGAAATCCTGGGTGCAGTTCTTAATGTAAAATGAATATATTAGAAATTAGAACGGAACCCATAAATGTATACCCCAACTCTTAAGTCAATTACTCAAGGAGTAGAAATGTAATTAAGTAAAGTACTTATTGGGTAATCGGGTTACCCCAGTAAAAATCTGGTCAAATCTGATCCAATTCAATAATTTGATAATTGTAGTATAGTAAATCGAGACCTGAATCAACAATCCAATAACTCAAACCATTGGCCCAATAACCAAACAGGAAATTACACAAGTTGTCCACCAAAGTGTGTGGTCTTGATTTTTTGTCCCCATAAGAAAAGTTTGTAAAGACTAGCCTTCTTCCTCTTTATGTATAGCACAAATACACTTTTGTCCCTCTACACCTCAAGTGTTTTAAAACAACTCTCCATGTCTCAACGTTTTTTTTTTTTTTCTCTTTTTTCTGCACTACTATTTTTTATCTCTTACTTTATTTTCTTTCATTTATTATTTTTTCTTTTATCTTTTTTTTTTTTAAAATCTTCTCCTTTTTGTTCCTTTTTTTTTTTTCCACTTTTTTTATATTTAGCTAATGGATTGAAAGTTGGGTAATCCTTAAAGAGGATCTTCTTTCTTTGACATGTAAGTGAATTTAAGGGTTTTATTTTCAGGTTAGTTAATAAGATCTGTTATAGGAATCAACCACATATCTAATGTAGGAAAAATGATGTATGTTAGCATCTAATGATAGAGTAGTGTATGGAGAAGAATATCATAGTTTTGGAATAGTGTTGCCCATGAGATGTATGTTATTTTTTAAGCCTTGAGTTTTGTGTTGCCTCTACGGCAAAAGTTATAGAGTATATCATAAGTTAGAAATAGGGAAATAGTGTAAACTGTTGCCCATGAGACATATATAATATATTTTAAAACCCTTGAGCCACTTTTTGCCTCTAAGACAATAGTTATTGTGTTCCCCGTAAGTTAGACTTAATGAAAATGGTGTAAACTGTTGTCCTTGAGGTGCAACTTGTTCCTTGAAAGTCTTAGGGTTAAGTCTTACTTCTAAGACAAGAGTTATAGTCTTATAGAGCATCTCATATATGAAGGCACAATGTGGTAGCGTCAAGTCTTTCCCATAGGGCTTAACTTGTTGTTTGGAAGTCCTTGAGCTAATAAGCCCTACCTCTAAGAGAATAGTTATAGAATATATCATAAATCATGATTTCTTGCTCATGGAGCATAACTTATTCTTTGGAAGCCCTTGGACTAAGTCTTGCCTCTAAGGCAAGAGTTATAAAGCATATGATAAATCAAGACACAATGAAGTAATGTCAAGTCTTGCCCGTGGGGCGTAACTTGTTGTTTTGAAGTTCTTGGCGTAAGTCTTGCCTCTAAAGCAAGAGTTATAGAGCATCTCATAGATCAAGATACAATAAAATAGTGTCAACTCTTGCCCATGGGGTGTAGCTTTTTGTTTTGAAGTTCTTGGTCTAAGTCTTGCCTCTAAGGCAAGAGTTATAAAGCATATCATAAATCAAGACAGAATAAGATAGTGTCAACACTTGCCCATGGGACATAACTTTAAGGCTCACAGTACCCATCCATTTATCAATCCAAAAACTTGTTTTTCTGCCATTTCGAACTTTGACAGTTAATTGATTACTGAGAAACTGCCAGAATATTCTAATGGATTTCCAGAGGCTAATACCATAAGGAGTGTTGACCTCTTTAGTTACCCATGTGTTCAGTTGCTCATACTTGCTCTTGATTACCCTGTACCAGAGGGCTTGGTCCTCCTGATGGTACCTCCATAGCCACTTGACCTTGAGTGCTTTGCTTTGGTATTTAAGGTTCTTGATACCTAGTCCACCTTGTTCTTTGCTTCTGATAATGTTCTTCATTTGACCAAATGTAAACCTTTCCTTTCCTTATTACCTTGCTACAAGAAGTTTCTTCTGATTTTATCCAACCTTTGAACTACTGACTGGGGTATATGGAAGATAGATAACATATATGTAGGGAAGGCATCTAAAACTGAGTTAATCAAAGTTAGTCTACCTCCCAAGGATAGATATTGTGATCTCCATCTGGCTAATTTCTTTTCACATTTCTCCAGAATTGGATTCCAAATATCTATGGACCTATACTCATCCCCCAGAGGCATGCCCAAGTATATTGATGGCAAAGTGCCTATCGCACCTCCCAGGATCTGAGAAAGGTGATCCATTTCTGGAACCACATTAATTGGATACAAGTGGCTTTTGTTCCAATTTATATGGAGCCCAGAAATGGCTTCAAAGTACACCAATATAAGTCTTATTATCAAGAGTTGCTCCTCCTCAGCCCCACAAAAAAATGAGTGTATCATCAGCATAGTGCAGATGTGTGATCTCTACACTGTTTCCAGCAACCTTGCTAACTTCAAATCCCTGAATTCTTCCTGTTATCTTAGCTACATTATGCATGTTGTCGAGTCCCTCCATGGCTATGATGAACAGGAAAGGGGATAGGGGATCCCCTTGCCTGATCCCTCTATGTGCATTGAAGAATCCTTCAGGTGACCCATTAATGAGTATTGAAAACTTCACAGTTGAGATACAGAACTTGATCCAGCTGGTCCACCTCCCACCAAAACCCATTTGACTCAGCATACTTAAAATGAATTCCCAGTTCACATGGTCATATGCTTTCTCAATATCAAGTTTGCATAATATACCGGGTTTTTTCTGGGTCACTCTGGAATCAATTGCTTCATTAGCTATGAGCACTGCATCTATTATTTGCCTGCCTTTGATAAAAGCCATTTGTTGCTTGTCTACCAATTTATCCACAACTCTCTTGAGTCTTTCTGTCAGTACCTTGGAAATCAGCTTGTAAAAGCTTCCAATTAAGCTGATGGGTCTGAAGTCTTTGAGTTCCTTTGCTCCTGTCTTCTTAGGAATCAGTGCTATGTAAGTTGCATTATAGCTTTTTTCAAACATCCCAGTTGAGTGAAAATTATGGAATGCCCCCATAATGTCTTGTTTAATGATGTCCCAACATTTTAGATAAAACCCCATTGTGTAACCATCAGGGCCAGGGGCTTTGTCTATAGCACACATCTTTAGACACTCAAAAACTTCTTGCTCCTCAAACGCAGCCTGCAATACTTCATTCTCATCCGCTGTAATGGTAGGATGATTGCTAATATTTTCAGAAGGCCTCCACTCTTCAGGTTCTGTATATAACTTCTTGTAGAAGGAAATGATTTCTTCCTTGATTCTATTTGGCTCAGATATGGTCTCTCCCTGCACTTCCAGCTGATCAATGTGGTTATATCTCTTGTGGGCATTAGCAGTTTGATGAAAAAACTTTGTATTCCTATCCCCTTCCTTGAGCCATAAAGCTCTTGATCTCTGCCTCCAGGCCACTTCCTCATTCTTTAAGCACCCCTCATACTCCATGAAAAGTGTTGCTTTTTTGGCTATTTCCTCCTCTGTTAAAGCTCTACTGTTTAGATGTGAATCCAGCTCAGCCATCTGTATGAGAAGGTTGTTCTTTTGCAAATTCAGATTTCCTTGTTCATTTCTGCTCCGTTCTTTCAATTTCCCTTTGAGAGCTTTGAGTTTACATGCTAAGATGTAATCAGGGTTCCCATAGAATTCGAAAGCATTCCACCAGTCTTTGATTCTTTCAACAAAACCTTCTTGGTTTAGCCACCAATTTTCAAACTTCAAAATAGGATTTGGATTGCTCTCAGTGTCCACAGAAAAGAGCTATAGGAACATGATCTGAAATCACTCTTTGCAGAGTAGTCTGCTTTAGGCTATTGAAAAGATTATTCCATTCTATGGAGACCAGAATCCTGTCAATTCTACCTGCAGTGGTATGGTTATCACCTTTGTACCAAGTATATCTTCCACAACCTAGCTGTGGATCAATGAGGTCCATGTCCTCAATGCAATCTGAGAGCTCTCTCATTGCTGAATTTCTCTTGCTACAATCCCTTTTTTCAGAGGGAAATCTACAAACATTGAAGTCACCACAGATGGCCCATGGTCCATCCATCAATCCTCTTACATCAGCCAATTCCTCCCATACTAGCCTCCTCTCCACTTGACTGTTGGGAGCATACACACTAGTAATATGACATTCGAAATTGCTTAACTGAGCACCTGACCTTGCAAGACATAGTATAGGCTCCAACTTGTAAAGTTTCCCCTTCCCAAATTCTAGAGTCCCATAGTATTAGGATTCCACCTCTGGTTCCACTGGCCTCCAGACATGCATATTTAATCCATCTCCCTGCCCAAATTTGTTTGATTAATTCTTGTACATTGCCTTCTAGTTTTGTCTCCTGGAGGCAGACTGTCTGCTTTCCAATCCTAAATCATATTTGTGCCCACCATTCTCTGCCCCTGACTTTCCAATCCTGAATCATATTTTGTACCACCATTCTCTTCCCCTGATCCTTCAACCCCCTAACATTCCATGAGATTAATTTGATCTTCATGGAGTATTCTGTGAGCTCCCCTTCCCCTTCCCTCTGTCTCCATTGCTTTTGAATTTAACATCAAAGGATATCAGATTCTTTAACTCTTGTGCTCCTTTATGTTTTGTTCTCTTAACTTCTATTGACCTCTCCATTTTTCTTACTTGCCTGCTTGCATCCACCTGCTTAAGGAGTTCAAGTGCTTCCTCTTCCATCCCCTGGAAATCCACTCCAAACATCTTATGGAGTTTCAATAAGTTTTGATGAATCCAGGCTGTGGCCTTCCTCTCCGTTTCAGTAAGAGCTCCTTGTTGTTGTGTACAAAGGGGTTCGATCTCCTGTACATCCCATAATTCCCCAGAATTTTCCATCCCCATTATTTCCTGACTTCAAATATCCTAACTATAGCTATAAAACCCCAACTATAACAACGATTGTACTTCTTTTAAAATATAGTTGTGTATAGTAAATACATATCACATGTTTGCCTTACTATATCATTTTTTCTATTTAAAAGTGGAGGTGGGTCATTTGGTTATGAGCTTGCCACATGTCCCTCTGTCAAAATTAAGGGAAAATTTGTGTCGAAGTATAATGGGAGGGGTATATTTGGATCGAAAGTATAACGAGAAGGGTATATTTAGACCAAAAGTATAACAAGGGATGTATTTGACCCTTTTCTGTTTCTAAAATAACCATCTTGTGAATATGATGTGACCTTAGATGCTTAGCATTCACTATAATATAGCATTCATGGTGTCACAACCACCCTACAAAACTTGCATATTGCTTTGGCAGGTAGATACCTATCTCATAACCCTCACGTAGAACTCCTCCAGTTAAGTGGTTCTGTTTTAATTTATAGGTATAGCATCTTCATCAATTATACATTTCTCTCTTAAAATTGAGATATTAGATATATGAATTATCTGCATTTGAGCAAAGTCCGTTTAATCTCACATCAATTTCATATTTCCTATGCAGGCTAAACTTGAAGTATGTATGTTTTGTGTTACTACTAACAATCTAAATAATTGCTACCATCTATAGTGTTTTTTCACACTCAAACTTTTGATTGATTCCTCCGCTAGTTTTGTTAATTAACACCGCATCATGTTCAAATAGCATACACCATGGAACCCTATATTTTTATACTACTGATTAGCTCATCCAATGGGTAAACAAAGTAAGGCTCAAGATAGATATCGAATGTAAATCCCCCTCTTTAAAAAAATTCTCTACTATCTCTTCCATTATTCACATACGTGATAGTTCCTTTGTACTTATCCTTTATGACATTTATATATTTGATCTGAATTCTTTCTTCGAATTGACTATTGTTACATTGGCTGTTAACCTTCCAAAATTCTCCTCCTTTGTTTGAGATTGAAACGGGCGATGCGAAACTCAAATAAGATATGATTCCTTCATAGGGGAAGTTGAAAAATCAGTAATGTTATCCAATTCAATATAATGTCCTAAGGGTTAAATGCTATAAGACATTCATGTTACACAGTTAGTTTGGTCATGATATGTCCCTTGTTGATGTGAAAACACAAAAACACTGTCACTGACTAGTTATGTCCATTTAACTTTTCATTTTTGTTCTCGACTGGTTCTGGCATAAAATTTCTTCAGGCATCCGGCTTTGTAGTTTCTGTTTTCTTCTTCTCCCTTTGACTTTACTGGTTCATTTTTTTCAATGTTTTCTCTCTTTAAGCAGAATGTCATGCATTATAATGCAACTGTTGTCTGTTAATAGTTGTCAAACTATGTAATATGTATATTCTTAGGCCTAAAGCTTTATAATCTCTTTGGGAAGCATAACTAGGTATGTTGGTAAGGTTGGAAATACTCGGAACATATGCCCCCACATTGGTTGTTAATTTTGTTTTAGAACCCAGTTGGGCAACATTTCATGAACTTGCAATTTTAATATAATGAACAGGCGTGTGATCTTGTTTCTATGACCCCTTCATGGAATCATGGAAATTGGAATACTAAAATCCCCAAGATTGCTCTTTCTAAACTCATATATTGCAGAAATTGATTTCCGTATTTTGAATTTAAATATCTTGACAATTTCTTCACTCATATTTGTAAATTTTACGGGAGCTGTGGGGCTGTCCTCACTTTAATTTTTTTGCATGCAGCTGTGAGACGTTGTGGATCATGGATTTAGCCTCAGGCTTGATCACAGAGGTTGTTAGAGGTATAGAAAGTATTGCCAAACATGTTCTTAAGTTGTCTCTATTCTATCAGTTAGCCTTGTCAGTTGTTGACTCACCCATACTCTAAAAGGATTTTCAAATATTTTGGAGATCTGTGAGCCATTGATCCTGGAGAAGTCGATGCTTTTGAATGAAATACCTAATGATTGGTTGCAGCAGCGAGTGGATGCACATTGCTCGACAAAGAGAATTCCATATGTTGAGCTCATATCTTCTGTGGAAACTTTTCAGGATCAGATACTCATTTGTGATACAGGTAAAAATGTCTTCAATGATTGGATCCGTTGTAGCATTTGCTTTGCCCGATCCAATTTTTGATTGTGTTTATCTGTAGTTGGTTAGACGTTATTAAAACTCAATAGAAACTCGGGTTCTATATCAAGCTTCCAGTTTTCTAATTTGGGGATCCTTGGGTTTCCTTACTGGTCCTCATCTCCTCTGGAACGAGTATGTGCTGCGTAAGTGTAGCAGATTAAAGAGGCCCAGTTAAGCCATTTTTCTTTTCTGCTTTCTCTGGGCGATTATATTAATTTTGTTGTGATGTTTGATGCTGGTGTTACAGTGATGCAGCATTGGCAGCGAATTCTATTGATCACATAGAATCTTTCAACTTGTTGCCAGGTAGTGGTTTAAATAATTTGTGAAAAAGCTCTTACCAGGAAAAAAGTTTACAACAAGTTTGTCACGCCCCAAACTCATGGGGTGCAACTGGCTCCTAATGCCAAAACTCAGGCTCGAGCCGCCCCTGCTGAACCATTTGCTACTAGCACATGGCAGTCACACGCAATCAAGAAAACAAACAAGTATATCTCGGCTTAAAATTAAGCCCTCGGCCGGCAAAGCCCCTGTCAACAGATCTACAAAAGAAACAGTTACTCCCAAGAGTTCATACGTCGAGGCCACCATGATCTCTATACCGAAACTGAAAGCAGGTATATATCAAAACAATACATCAAACAATTAACAAGCTTCAACAAACCAACAAACTAGGCCAGCATGGCCATAACGTAGCTATATACCCACACACTAGTCTGCAAGCCTCTAAGAGTAGTAAAGATTGGTGGGACAGGGCTCAGCCTATCCATAAAAATATATACAACAAAAGCTAACAAACCTCTAACTCTGGCAGCTTCAGAGGAAATGGGCTAGCCAATCGGATAGAAGTCAATCATGCTGTTGAGGAGGTCTACTGGGTCGTCTGTCGGGACCTGTAGGCATGAATGCAGTACCCCCATACAATGGGGCATCAATATGAAATAATATATCGAGTATAAAAGGCAATAGACTATGAGCAGGTATCCTAATATACTGGGAGTAATCCGATAAATAAATCAAAAATAACATAAGTGTACTAACCTGCTCCTAAATCTAAACATATCAAAAATACTAAAACAACAGCCTAACCAAGCCCCCATAAGCTCGGCATGTACAAACAACACACAAGACCACCTACCTAGGCCCTCATAAGGTATCAAGCAATCTATATACCCCTATCGGTAGTCCCCTAGCCCCGTAGGCAGCCACATAGTCCTCTTAGGCAATAACATAGCTCTCTCAGACATCAATATAGCTTATAGATAACTCATAGCCCTCTTAGATAGCAACATGGCCTTGTAGGCACCATATAGCCTTCTTAGGCGTCAATATAGCCCCGTAGGCTACTCATAGCCCTTTTAGGCATCAATATAGCCCCGTAGGCAACTCATAGCCTTTCTAGGCATCAATATAGCCCCGTAGGCAGAACATAACTCTTCTAGGCATAGATCACATTCTTGCAGCTAACCACAATATCCCCAAGGGCAACAATAACAATCCAATAGGCTAAAAGCGAGCAATTTAGCTATAAGCAACCTATACGAATAGCCTCTAAGTCGTGTTCAACATAGGGACGCTACTAACTGTATAAGAATCCCGACAAGAGAGGATTATTTCCACTCGAGCAACCAACAATCAACAATAATGGCTACAAGGATAACAACCCAATTACATTGCTCCTAAAGCTTTAAGGAAACATGTTGTAAGAAGGGAATAGCCTTAACATACCTTTTTCGCTGAATTCACGTGGCCTAATGACTTTTACTCATAACTCCCTCGATACTACAACAAGGCAGGACCATAATCAACACACAAGAATAGAAGATACCACGATAATTCGATAAAAGATATGTATTTTCATCGCAAATTGCTATTTGCGGCTTATCAAAGCTAGAGTCGATGAAAGAAGGGTCTTACCTTGATCCTAAGTTCGTAATACACCTCAAAACCTTAAAATATGTCCAAACCCTTGTTGTCCCAACACCAAAGTATGATATGCTACGAAATCGATAAAACAAATTATACCATGTTGACCAGCTCAACGCATAGAACAACTTCGTCAAGGACTTAAGTTGAGAAAATCTATAATTTGGTTGATCCTAAAAGTGGGTTTTCTAAGTTTTCTGGTTCTTAACTGAAAAAAATGAAGAAAAGTCGAAGAAGAAGATATATAAAAAGTTCCACCGACCTAGGGCCCACCTCACGTGCCTGCTTGTGCAGTCTCGCAAAAATGTGAATATCTCTCTATTCTGAAGTCGTATGAACGAACGGTTTGATGCGTTGGAAACTAGACTCATAGACCTTTGATTTGATAAGTCGTGGGCCCCATAACTCTTTATAGATTGAGAGAAAACCTCTGAGACATTTGACCCAAATTTCAGAGAAATCTCTAAAAATGGACTTATGAAACTTTCGCCAACTTTTATTTTGCCACTTACCTAACTTCAAAACTTGAGATACAACCCTTGAACACTTAAAATATGACATGCCACATCATTCTTAATTTATTACCCATCCTCTTTGTCTTTCAACGAAGATACGAGTTAATTTAGACGTTTTGAAAAGTCGGGGTGTTACATTCTTCCCCCCTTAAAAACATTCGTCCTCGAATGAAAAATGTGAGTCACGCGGTTAAGTCCTTCGGAGTTGCCAAAATTTAGGCAGAGTAACCTTTGTAAATGTGACTATCAAAGGGCTACTGATAGGGTATGTAGATTGATTTGGCACCTTCTGGGCTTATGGGGGCCTAGGTAGGTGGTATGTTGTTTGTACCTGCCGAGCTTATGGGGGCTTGGTTAGGTTTTTGTTGGGAGTCAGATTGTTAGAGGCAGATGATAGTGGGGTCACAATTCAGGACACAGCCGTATCATCTCTAGTTGTAGAGAGAAAAGCACGGCAACAAGAGGATCCTAGCTTAGAGCAGCTCAGAGCCAAGACTCGGGATCATCAGTCTTTAGCATTTGATATAGAAGGAGATCGAGTCCTCGGATAGAAAGGTCGATTGTGTGTTTCGAATGCTGCAGGGCTTCGACATCAGATTATGGAAGAGACACATCATTCCTGTTATTCTATTCACCCTGGTTCGACGAAGATGTACCATGATATTAAGGAGATCTATTGGTGGAACGGAATGAAGAAGGACGTTGCTGAGTTTGTGGCACAGTGTCCTAATTGCCAACAGGTGAAGGTTGAGCACCAAAAGCCCGCTGGGTTAGTCCATGAGATAGTCATTCCTTTGTGGAAGTGGGAAGCAATTAATATGGATTTTATTATAGGGTTACCTTGATCGCGTCGTAAATTTAACTCTATTTGGGTAATTGTTGACAGACTAACAATCAGCCCACTACTTTTACAGCCGAAGACTATGCAGGACTCTATATTAGAGAGATTGTTAGGCTACACAGTGTCCTAGTATCTATTATCTCTGATAGAGGAGCACAATTTACCGCTAACGTCTGGAAGTCCTTCCAGAAAGGACTGGGGACACAGGTTAATCGTAGTACAACCTTTCACCCTCAGACAGATAGCCAGGCTGAGCGCACAATTTTGACATTCGATGATATGTTACGGGCGTGCGCGCTAGACTTCAAGGGAAGGTGGGATGACCACTTGCCTCTTATTGAGTTCGCATACAATAATAGTTATCATTCCAGTATCGGGATGGCACCTTATGAGGCTTTGTATGGGCAAAAATGTTGATCCCCCATTAGATGGTTCGAGGTAGGTGAGTCAGGGTTGATTGGACCCAACTTAGTACAACATACAGTGGAGCAGGTTAAGCTCATTCGGGAGAGGTTGCTAACAGCTCAAAGCCGACAGAAGTCATACTCAGATGTGCGACGAAGGGACTTAGAGTTTTGTGTCGATGACTGGGTATTCTTAAAAGTCTCGCCTATGAAGGGTGTTATGAGATTTGGTAAGAAAGGCAAGCTTAGTCAAAGATTCATTGGGCCATACCGGATCCTTCAGAGGGTAGGACAAGTAGCTTATGAGTTAGAATTGCCTTTGGGGCTAGAATCTGTTCATCCAGTTTTCCATGTATCGATGCTACGGAAGTGCGTAGGAGACCCTTCTCGGGTTGTCCCAGTTGAGGATGTTCAGATCACAGAGGAGTTGTCCTACGAGGAAACTCCAGTTTCCATATTAGATCGACAAGTTCGTAAATTAAGGACCAAAAAGGTGGCTTCAGTTAAAGTATTGTGGAGAAATAAGAATAGAGAAGAGGTGACCTTGGGAAGTTGAGGATGGCATGAGGTCTAAATATCCTCACTTGTTTCATACCCCAGGGTGATGGTATATTAGTTTATATTAGTGCAGTAAGGTAAGATACCTATCTGATTTTTTTTATACTGTTGCTTATTATTATAGTTGTCGTATTTTTGCTCACACTGTTATTGTGGAGCTATAGTGCTTAGCTATTTATGTCGTCCTGTGAGACACCTAGATTAGGATTTCTGCGTTTCAGGTTCCTGGATAGTAACATTTACAAAGGATACTTTGCCTAAATTTTGGCAACTCCTAAGGACTTAACCGCGTGACTCACATTTTTCATTCGAGGATGAATGTTTCTAAGGGGGGGAGGATATAACACCCCGACTTTTCGAAACGTTTAAATTAACTCTTACCTTCGTGGAAAGACAAAAAGGGTGAGTAATAAATTAAGAATGATGTGGTATGTCATATTTTAAGTGTTCAAGGGTTGTATCTCAAGTTTTGAAGTTAGGTAAGTGGCAAAATAAAAGTTATCGTAAGTTCCTTTTTAAATATTTCTCTGAAATTTGGGTCAAATGTCTCGGAGGTTTTCTCCCAATCTATAAAGAGTTGGGGCCCACGACCTATCAAATCGAAGGTCTACGAGTCTAGTTTCCAACGCATCAAACCATTCGTTCATACGACGTCAGAATAGAGAGATATTCGTGTTTTCGCGAGACTGTGCAAGCAGTCACGTGAGGTGGGGCCCTAGGTCGGTGGAACTTTTTATATATCCTCTTCGACTTTTTCTTCATTTTTTTTAGTTAAAAACTTAGAAAACTCATTTCTAGGATCAACCAAATTATAGATTTTCTTGACGAAAGTTGTTCTACGTGTTGAGCTCGTCATCATGGTATAATTTATTTTATCGATTTCGTAGCATATCATATTTTGTTGTTGGGACAACAAGGGTTTGGACATGTTTTGAGGTGTATTACGAACTTAAGATCAAGGTAAGACCCTTCTTTCATCGACTCTAGCTTTGATAAGCTGCAAATAGCAATTTGCGACGAAAATACTTATCTTTTATCAGATTATCGTGGTATCTTCTATTCTTGTGTGTTGATTATGGTCCTGCCTTGTTGTAGTATCGAGGGGGGTTGTGAGTAAAAGTCGTTAGGCCACTTGAATTCAGCGAAAAAGGTATGTTAAGGCTATTCCTTTCTTACGGCATGTTTACTTAAAGCTTAGGAGCAATGTAATTGGGTTGTTATACTTGTAGCCATTATTGTTGATTGTTGGGTGCTCGAGTAACAATAATCCTCCCTTGTCGGGATTCTTATTCAGTTAGTAGCGTTCCTATGTTAGACACGACTTAGAGGCTATTTGTATAGCTTGCTTATAGCTAAATTGCTCGCTTTTAGCCTATTGTTATTGTTGCTATTGTGGTTAGCTACTGGAATATGATATATGCCTAGAAGGGCTATGAGTTGCCTATGGGGCTATATTGATGCCTATGAGTTGCCTACGAGGCTATATTGATGCCTAGAAGGGCTATGAGTTGCCTACGGGGCTATATTGACGCCTAAGAAGGCAATGTGTTGCCTACAGGGCCATGTTGTTGCCTAAGAGGGCTATGAGTTATCTATAAGCTATATTGATGCCTAAGTGAGCTATGTGCTGCCTACGGGGCTAGGGGTATATAGACTGATTGACACCTTCTGGGGGCCGAGGTAGGTGGTCTTGTGTGCTATTTGTACCTGCCAAGCTTATGGGGGCTTGGTTATGTTGTTGTTTTATTATTTTTGTTAAGTTTAGATTTAGGAGCAAGTCAATACACTTATATTATCCTTGATTTATTTATCGGATTACTCCCAATATATTAAGATACCTGCTCATAGTCTATTGCCTTTCATACTCGGTACATTATTTCGTACTGATGCCCCATTGCCTGGGGGTACTGCATTCATGTCTGCAGGTCTCGACAACCCAGTAGACCTCCTCAGCAGCAGGATTGACTTATATCCGGTTGGCTAGCCCCTTTCCTCCGGAGCTGCCAGAGTTGGGAGGTTTGTTAGCTTTTGTTGTATATATATTTATGGGTAGGTTGGGGTCATGTCCCACTAATCTTTACTACTCTTAAAGGCTTGCAGACTAGTGTGTGGGGTGTATAGCTATGTTATGGCCTAGTTTGTTGGTTTGCTGAAGCTTGTTAGTTTTTTATGTATTGTCTTGATATATACCTGCTTTCAGTTTCGGTATAGAGATCATGGTGGCCTCAACGGCCCAATCAGGACTTCTGTGCTAGTTGACTATTTCTTTATATGAACTCTTGGGAGTAGTTGTTTCTTTTATGGATCTGTTGACAGGGGCCTTGTTGTCGAGGGCTTAATTTTAAGTTGAGATATACTTGTTTGTTTTCATGATTGTGTGTGGCTGTGATGCAGTAGCAAATGGTTCAGTAGGGTCGGCTCGGGCCTGAGTTTTGGCATTAGGAGCCAGTTGCGTCCCTTGAGTTTGGGGTGTGACAAACTTGGTATCACCTGATCTTTTGGTTGTTTATCAATACCTATAATTTTTATCTTCGACATTGTATCTTCTTTTTCTAGATCATAAAATTTTTTTATCTTTCTTTACCTGTTAAAAAAGTTGGTTTTTTAGAGATCAATGTGAAAAAGAGAAAGTAGGCCAAGTTTTTCTAGATAGAGGGAGTACTACATGATAATCCCACTTCATTTGTTTAACAGGTAAAATTGACATACGACTGAATGTGGATATTCCAGAATATGTTGATCTAATTGAACCATTGGGTGAAAGTTGTATATGGCGGCAAACTAGAGGGGCAGCAGCTGAAATATCCGAGGCAGATAGCACAATTACGTCTTCAGAAAAGGTTTCTGATCACCTTTAGGCTTCATGTATTTGTATTCAGCCATAAATTCTACTTCCTTCATCCCAAGCTGATTTTCCACTTCTCATTTTTAGCTAGTTCCAAAATAATTTTCGAAAAGAAAGTCGTGGTATATACCATGTACCGCAAATAGTTATCTGGGACCCTTTTTAAAAAAAAGAATATTGTTCAACATTTTATCTCAACAAATGCCGAATAATTCATTTTTAAACTCCTTCAGTAGCAGAGCAAAGTCAAACCAATTAAGAGTTAAATGGATGGGGATATGCAGGTTGGTATTGCCCAGCAAAGGTATGATGAAATTGAACACCTTGCCTTTTCAACATCAGAAATAGAAGCAACCATAGAAGAGAGGACAATGAGCTGCGGTGACGAAATTCCAGAAGGGAAAGTCGAGATCAGTTGCTCCGTTAACTCAAGTCCTGGAACAAGTGAGGTACATTATTCTTCCCAGCAATTTCCTTTTGATTCTGAATCACCGCGATCCTCCAGGATTTATGTGAAAATTTCTCACTGAAGTTGTTTAAAATGATACGTTAATTGGTATAGTTGTCCGTCCAGTCTAGAAATTATTCACATTTTGACCTTAATTTCAGATTAAAAAAATGCTGATTTAGTCATTATGTGATTGTCTTCTCCACCAGGTTTTCATTTGTGCTGCACTATATCTTAGACTGAAAAAGGATTCAGATGCCTGTAGTGGCGGTAGACAGAGGAAAGCAGCTAGAATAGCAGATTTGCTCAACCCTGGGACAAGGGCAAGCAAAGATTTAGTTGTTCAGTTCTTGTTGGCATCAAATAGAGATCTTGAAGAAGTTATCATAACAAGACCTGTACATGTGAAACTCAAGTTTGATTGTCCAAAGCATCCAAAAGCAGATAATTCCAAAGATATAATTATGACAGACACCTCTGTAAATGTGAATGTTGCTCTAAAGTAAAACATTTAATAGTCTAGTGTATGATTCTTGATGATATTAGAGGCTCATTATTTTTGTATCAATGAGTGGCTTACTATCTACTTAATAGTTGATTTTTATGTTGCACTGTTGATAATTTCTGTATGGAGCTGTAAAATTAAAAGTTCTAAATGTTCATGTTTCCTGCATAATTTTATGAACTTTTTGCCTGTGACACTGCTAGTTATTTTGGTGAATATGACAATTATTTCCTTTGATTTTTAAGTCATATATGATAGTTTTAACTTAAGAAACATTGATGATAGTGATAGCAAAATAAGTATCATCAGAGGTCTTTCGAAAATAACATTTCTATATCATGCTGGTAGTGGTAAGGTCTGTGTACACTCTATTTTTTCAAAACCTCACTAGTGAGATTTCATTGGGTATGTTATTGTTGTTGTTTGTTGTTGATCAGAATGTAAATTTTGTGTACCATGTATTGGATGACTGTGTCTCGATGATTTTAAAATATACTTTAAAACTAATAAAATAATTTATAAGAAGATAAGAGAATTATTTTTATTTACATAAATATATTATATGTTAATTTCATAACGAAATAATATAATAATAACAAAGAATATTTTAAAAAATTCATTGATAATTGAAATTATTCATAGAATAGCACATACAAACCATACATATTAAATAACTTTTTTGTAACATACATTATTAGTGTAAGACTATCAAGTCTCAATTATTTATTGCAACAAGTAATATGTTTCTTAAAAAAAATCAATCTACAAAAAACAAGCACATTATATATCAAAAAATTTGAAATATCGAGAAGATTTTATATCTCAATTTATGGAACAGTGTAGAGGTGATTTTGAGTTAATTGAAATTGAATAGTCCGTATATACTTTACGTATAATCAAGTTGTATTCAACTTTTTGAGTGTAACATAATGTATAGTTCATGTATAGGTAAACTATTTTTTATAGTCGGTATATATTTTCTATGACTTTTAACTATATTGTTGTAGACATTGAAATTTTGTGCTACTCTATAAAATGTGTTCAATTCAAGTTTGGATTCTACAAAATTGTTCAATTCCAATTATGATTCTTGGAGGCTACTCAATCCTAAACCCTAGTTCATGCCTATATAAAAGGTACTATATTCCCTTAAAAGGCATCTCGAATATTTCGTAAATTTATGGAATATTCATAAAGGGATCATCCAAATCATCCTAGTTCAGGAAATACAACACTAACGGCCCTCGAATCACAAAAAAAATATAAAGGAACATGAAACATAATTTTATTTATCAAGATTGTGAGTACAAATTTGTTGATTTTGCTTTCTTAAGATTTATCCATGATTCGATTTATCCAATAAAGAAACATGAATCATAATTTTATTTATCAAGACTGTGAGTACAAATCTATTGATTCTACTCTCCTAAGATTTATCCATGATTCGAGGGCCGTTAGTGGCGTATTTCTCGAACTAAGATGATTTAAATTTGATCTCTATATGAATATTTCATGACTTTTGTGGAATATCGAGATGTCTTTTAAGGGAATTTAGTACCATTCATATAGGCATGAACTAGAGTTTAGGGTTGAGTAGCTCCAAGAAATCTAATTGAAACTGAACACACCTTTTAAAGTCCCAATTTAAATTGAACATGTCTTGTAGAATCCCACAAAATTTCAATGTCTATAATTGTATAATCAATGTATATATTTTATGATTTTCGATTATATTTTATATAAATAAAATATAAATATACTATTATAAACTAGCCCATAAATATTTAGAAAATATTAAATGAGCTTTTTGAAAGTTGTCAAGGGAAGAGACAGGTAGCTTCTCGTGAAACGCGTGAATTCTTCTACACGCCAAGAATGACCAAGTCACGTCAATGCAAAAATTGACATAAAATAAATAATACTTATTTACTTTTCTTTAGTTTAAGAAGTTATCGACGACATTTTAGTAGTTGAGTTGATTGATCTAAAAAAATAAATTGAAATTAATGATAGAAAAGTTTTGTAGCTAAATAATAATTTTTTTCGTTAATTCTATTTAGTAATGAATTAGCGATAAATTTCTGATAGTTACGAGAAAAATAACGATGAATAGCTAATTTTAGTTTTTTTATTTAGCAGTGAAGGTGTTCAGTGAGAAGGAAAATATTTTTGAAGAAATTTGAGTTCAATACGTAAGGGAAAAAAATATTACTCTAAAAATATTTGTATATAATCTAGATAGATATTATGTAAGATGAGAGTAGAGGTAGGGGTAAGAGTCGGGGCGGCGGGGGGGGGGGGTGTACAAGGCTACGAATTTAGGAATGAAGATGAAGTGTGTTGGAGGTAATAATAACACAATTTATATGGAATGCACACTTATTTTCTCTATTTTCACTAAAAAAATAAATCATTTTCTTGATTTTTCAAAAACTTATTTTCACATAAATATACTAACTACCAAATGTTGCATTGGTTATATATATATATATATATATATATATATATGATACGATGATTATTCTTTTTGATCGGTAATCAAACACTATATTATCTTATATGACCTTTTATAGTAAAATTATTATTCCACTATATATTATCAACCAAATGACCCCAAAATAATATTGTTAAGATATGTCAATAATTTTTTATTTGAACAATATATATAGTTTATGAACAACTTTTAAATGATAAGTGTTGATAATATCAAACACTAAAAGAAAACTGTGAATTACATGGGGATTTTTCTGGGAATTTTCATACTAATCCCCAGGAAAATCCCATATAATTCACATTTTTTTTGTAGTGAAAACTTATGATAGGTTGGATTGTAACAATCTATTCCTATAATTATAGTTTTTGAATTTAACTATTGAGAATAAAGTTCTCTTAACCTGAAGTAATCTATTTTGGAATTTAGATTAATGTTTTCTGATATTAATTACTACTAATATTTAAAGCAAATCCAAAAAGTAACGTACTTTTTACTATCATCAAGGAATAATATAAACCGTCATGAGATTTTACACTAATTAACTTAACATATTTATTCCCTTGTTTCAACTTTCAATTTATACTTTTTTTTCTTTATTACACATAAAAATAATGTTACTATATTAAATAATTTTTTTAATTAACATCCTTTGTAACATATTTAAGAATATTATTATTATAATAATAATAATAATAATAATATTACTATTTTAAATATTATTTATAATTAATAAAGGGAGTTGCATGTCCATCATAACGTATGAAAGTGGCTATCATCGAATATGATATTGTGGATGAAGTTGTTCATTTCTTAATTAAATGTTTTAGTTTTGAGTATTGAATATGAAAAATCTTTAATAAAAAACGTTACTTTCAAATGGATCCTATATGGTATATTAAATTAATTAAATTTCAATACGAATATAAGTTAGTCAGACTCCAATACGAATGCACGGAAAAAAGAAGTTATGGAAGTGACAGCCACCGGTTTAGGGAGCTGGAGTTAGGTTTAGGATATAACAACGTTTAATAAAGCATTACGCGTATTGTTGTTTATTTATTCTTTTTTAAAAAAATATTTTAATTTTCTCTTTCTTTGTTTCATTCTTTACAAAGATTTTTTTTTCTTTTTTTAAAAAAGAAGTCTTCAAAGTTCAAATATGTTGCAAATTGAACCAAACTTCATTAACATAACTTTATAATATATCAAGTTGTTTAATATAATGAATTCAACAAGTTATTTGAACTCGTGTCTATAATTATTAAAAATATATTATAAATATTTCTTCAGGCGGCTCCAGGAAGAAAGCCTTAAATTTCATTTGATATATATATAACTCTCTTGATTTTTAAAATATTATTTTGATATAAGAAATACATAATATGAAACGACAAAGTATAAAATAGGAAAAATGGTCTGAAAGATATTTTAACTTTGGCCGAAATTGTTGTTACGATACCAAATTTTATGGAGGACCTTTTACCCCTGCACTATTTAATAGTATATTTTAAAGGTATATATGTGCCCACGTGGACACATTACTATTTAAAATAATGAAATATTTATGATGTCCACGTAGGCACATATATACCTTTAAAATACATTATTAAATAGTAAGGGGGTAAAAGTTCATTTCCAAAGTTTGATATCGTAACAGCAATTTCGACCAAAGTTAGAGTATTTTTCAGACCCTTTTCCCTATAAAATACTACTCCCATAGTCACATATTGATTGTCTAATTATTTCGTCTATATTAATTATTACATTTTATCTTTTACACGCTCTTAAAAAAATTATATAAAAATATTATACTTTTAAGTACTAGTTTTTTTATTATAAATATTATTTACTTTAAAAACAAACAACTTTTAAAGAGAAAAATCGGGAAAAAGGTAATAATTCTAACAAATAATCAACTTAATGTGGATGATTATTATAACAAATGATTATTGGTGGGCTACTAGTCTATCCCAATTATTGATGTGTTATTATTATTAAGTATTTTTAAAAATTTATGAATGATTTTAAACAATAATGCAATTACTATTAAAATATTTCTATATCGTTCAAAAAGAATGATTGAGAAGGTTTAGGAGAATGAATGCATCTAATTTCCGGTTAAATGCATATGTTAATTCAAAAACAATATAAATTACCATTTTATAGTAAAAAAATCTCGAAGGCGATATCATTTGGTTTGAATATAAATTGTGTTAGGAATTAATTATATAAATGTAAATTATATTGAATTATTTTTTATGACAGTTTGATTAGTTATATTAAGAAAAAAAAATGATAATTTCTATGAAGAAGTAGTTGCTTATAAAATATTCTCAACCATATATATATATATATATA